TGATGTGAGCCATCCTTGATTGTTCCTGAAATCTTCCTGACATTGGTAGAGTTTGCACTGCATGTGACTTGCCAAAGGACATACAGACATGTTCTCCTCAGTGCACAGCAATTAAATGCCTCAGTCTCTCTCCCTAGGGGTGTCTGGCCTCACAAGAGAGGAAAGTGTAAAATATCCATCTAGCATGGGCAGAAAGGTCTCCAGACATCACAGTAGACAAAGACATAAGAAAAGTGGATGAGACCTTGGGACTCTGACCTCTTCAAGGAGAGGAGTTTTCTCTAGAGGAGAAAACAATTGAGAAAAGCAGGCAGAGAAGAGAAATCAAGACCTTGAGAGGGTCTCTGGGGAATGGCTTCCCAAATTGTGACAGAGCAGAGGCTGCGTATAGGTTAGTGCAACCTGGCAACTAGTCCTTGCACTTGTAATGACCAAAGAAGCTCACCCAAACTACTGCTGGAAGCTGGCATGCACAAGTTCTTGTTTTGTTATGTCTGACTCCATTAGGAGGAACTGCTGCCCTGGAAGGTCCATAGGTGCTCTGAGAAACAGCAGAGCATGTCTGGGAAAGGACCCTCAAGGTTGTTCTCAGCTTGCTCAGTCTGGCCTTATCCCTCTGTCTCTCCTGAACTGTGACACTTTTGCAGGCAGACAGATCCAACTGATCAGGTGTTGCAAGAATAGGGGATGTAGGACTTGGCAGGAATTAGCAAGAGGCCTGGGTGAACTGAGTGCTTAGTTGGACTGTGCTGGGTTTGCTGTAAGTCCGTGTGTTAATGTGAGTTTCCCCTTTCACTCAGAGGTGCTAGTGAAGGTCTCCAACCCTTGCAAGTACCTTTCCTTCCCTATGAGTTCTTAAGTCACCCTCTCTCTCTTGCATAGGTGCAATAATTTGCTAATTGTTCTTTTTAAATCTCATTTTACTTCTTAAAGACCCACACTAGATATTTTAGTGGGAAAACTGAATTACCAACAACTTTTGGCTGGGTGCTTATCTGCTGGCCTAAATTCCTGCATCAGCTCAGATGTCAGGGCAGTTCATGGAAGTTCATGTAGCTTTATGGACTTTCACCTGATAAAAGTAAAGTTCATGAGAGTTTGCACTGCTATATGAGGTAGCTGCCAGCTAACAGCAATCATGAACTTTCCACCTTGTCTGTGAAGTTCCCTTGTTCCCATGACCCTCATGATCAGCTTCAGGCTAGTGGACCACAGAGACATTTGCTTCTCCTGTCCTCATCCTCTCTATGTCCTGTTTGTGGTGGTCTTGGGTGCTGTCTAAACTGGTGCTTACAGCTGGGTCATTGTAATGCATGAGAACTATCAAATGGGTGAGGAAAAGGTCTGTGAGGAAGAGAAACCTGCCTGTTTTATCTCAGCCAGGCTGCTTCCCACTTTCTATAACAACTTCTTTCAAACAAAGCATTTCACTTCCATGAATTTCAGGCTCATTTCAAGTGCCTCTCATCCCTGTCCAGTGTGCGTGTAGGTATTAGGAAAGGGCAATTACCTGAAACTGTTCTCAGCACAGGTATTGCTTGGTGGATCTACAGCACTCTCAGGGTTGTTTCATGTAGAATTATTCTTTATCTCCATGTAGATATTTTTCCTGTCAGCATAAACAAAATATTAATGGGTTAAAGTGTAACTAAAGCTACCTCCCTCTAGCTCCAGTACTTTGTTTGTTATCTTTTACCTAATTATCAGCAGGTAATGCAGTCAAATGAAGCATTCAGCAGTCAAACAGTGGCAGTGCAATCTGAGCAAGCACAACTCAGCTTCTACAAAGATGAAGCCTCCTCCCTGCCAAAGTCCAAATGTTTTCTCTGGGTGCCTCCCCAACGTCTCTGCCCAGTGCCCAGGCAGGAACTGTGGTGAGCACACTTGGTTCATGTGTGCTGCTCAAACCACAGCCCATTGAGATCCATTTGCTTGGGTTCCTGCTGTGCAGAGCAGCTCAAAAGGTCCAGTACTTTGTGGAACAGCCATCCTGACTGGTGCATGAAATTAGCAATGTGCAGGGTAGGCACAGTGATGTTCTTCACCCAGCTGGGATCATGGCAGCCTGGATACCTGTGGAGCAAAGATGGGCTGAGGTGAAAGAGCAGAGGAAATGGTTCCCCCAGACTCAGTTACTATCCACCCTTCCTGTGGTGAGGACTGGCTGGAAGGACAAGTGGCTGACTGCTGCACAGTGCTGTGCAGACATCCAGGAGCTGGAGGGTCTGATGAGGGCAGAAGCATGAGTGGCTACAATGGAAGCACATTATTAAGGGTCAAGATTAGAAATCCCACGCATCTAACGCACACCATGTTGGGATGTCTGTGTGTTGATCGACTCCCAAAGAAATAAGCAGACTACAAAAGAACATGGATGGCTCAGGCTATGCCAGCACTCCCACTGCAAAATGTAGGGCACAAAAAGGCATGCACAAACACAAATGTGTGCATCACTTCTGCAACAGTGTAAAAACATTCACCCCTCTATTGCATGAATGCAGAAACATCTGTGTGGAAAGATGGACAACGAGGTGTGTGGCTGCCTGGTGCATGGCTAGGGAGAAGGCTCTACATGAGACACATTGCAGGTACAGGCAGGCAATTGGTGCTGGAAGGGCACAGTTTTCTCGGGGATCACAGAGGCTCCCCTTATGTGTGTTTCAAGCCCATCTAAGGGACCCCCTGTAAGTTTTTGGGAGTGGGGATCCAACAGAGCATACAGTCCTGCCACCTGCCAGCCAGGCCTAGACCAGTCCTGCAGCTTATCCCTGCACAACCACACTGCAAACAGGGCTGTAAGTCCATAGCCAAGAGTGTTTACAGGGAATCACCAGCTTTTAGGTGTGTAAAGCCTCCTGAGCTCCATAGTTTCCCACAGATTTCAGGTGAGGGCTATTTCTGTGCTTTCATGTCAGCACCCTACGTCTGGCATTTGAGGCAGCGTCAGCTTTAAAAGAACAAAAGAGCAAAAGAGCACTGTCACTCAGTTTCTGGCACTCACGCCTTGTAATGAGCAATTAGAGCAGCAATAGGGCACCTGGGGAAAAGCAGCCAGATGTCCTGCATGTCTCGGCTGTTGGAAGAACTGAGAGTGACAAAAAGGATTTGAAGACCCTGCTGGGGCTCTACAGTATGAATACAGACCCATCTCTTGACATTCGCTCAGCTCTTGCTCTATGGTTTCCTTCAAAGGGTGCAAGCAGGCTCTGTTGGGTTCAGGTGAGGGCAATGACAGGTGCTAAAAACTGCTGGGCTGGGCCCACCTGGACACTTCAGGGATTTCTGATCCCAGCTGGCTCCCCAATTTAAAAGGGCTAGGCTAAGAACAGCTGCTTCATGGTCCTTAGCAAGAGAGCAGGATGGGTGTTGTAGGACAGTCTGGGGCTGCATTGGGTGCTGTGCTTTTCTGGGTGTTTCTTGGTCCCCTAGCTTTGGTTATGGGGGCTCGTAGTGTTTTTTCTGATCCCACCCTGCTGATTTGTGGCCAAGAAAGCTTACAGCTCACCTTACCTCTGGGCTGGGAAGGGAATGCTTCATTG